GCTTCATTTTCCTTTTCTGTCACAACAATGTGAGAATCAGATGAGGAACTGGGTGTAAAAATGGTTTGAGAGAGTTAAAGCCTCAGTCCCTAGGAGAGTCCCTGAGATGACCCAGCTGTACCAGTTTGCATCCAAGGCTGCAAACAGATGGGTGGGATCAGGCTTTGCTCCACCTTGTCAGCCTGAGCTTCTTTGTGCAGGACCCGTCTCCATCTGTGTGTCCAGGTGCCCAGTGATGGAACTGGCAGGGAGAAGATAGATATTCACGGTCACTCTTAATTGAACTCAATTGCCCCTATTTTGCGTTTTCTTTTTTGGATTCCTGCAATCGGGAAGAACAGGGAACCCTTGTGGCTTAAAGAGGGGCAGCTCATGTCTAGGACTGCCCCCTCCTCTCTTACAACCTCAGTGACCTCAGCCGTCCTCCCCATCTCCCACCTCTATTGGAGTGACCCACCCACCCTGGGTTTCCCTGGCCTTCCACACCTGAGGAGGCACAGGACCTGCTGCTCTGGAGACAGACTGCTACTCTATGAGTCCTTCTGCCTCTCAAATTACTAGATGTTGCTCCCCCCCATTGACCTCACCAGACTGAAGGCATCCGGTCCGTGTGCCTGAGCACATCAAAGCCCAATAAAACACAAACAGGAGTTTGCAGCCAAGAACGTAAAGATTTATTAAGGAAATGGCACCATGCCCGGAGTCACAGGTAGCTAATGCTTAAAAACCCGGTTCCCCTTTGGCTTCTAGGGGATGGGTTACATAGGGGGAAACCATTAATCAATAATTAAGGGCGTTCAGTTAGGGTCATGCTCAGGGTCATGCTCAGGGTCATGCCCAGGGTCATGCCCAGGGTCCTGGTTTCTACTGACTGGTCAGCGCTGAGGTAGGGGACAGTCCACATTGCACCTGGTCTCGGTGTCAGCCATGGCCTTGCTGCCTCTGGTTTTGCAAGGACTCTGTTGGTGGGGTGATCAGGATAAGAAACACAGCTGAGGCCTAGATGTTATCTCTGGTGCCACCACAACTCTCACTGTGGCCAACAGGCCCCAGGCCTCTTTGCTAAGACGATTCGATGTGGCCAGGACCTCACCGCCCTAAGCCTAAGGGCTTCAGGACCAAGCAAGGGAGAGGGAGGTGGGCGAGCCGGGGCACAGTGAGGCCAATTTGAGTCAAAGGAAAAAAATCAAAATGAAAGGACAGATGAAAGAAAATAAGGTTCCCACACCGTCAACTAAGGGAGCCACCCCCTGAACCAGCCTTAAGGCCCCAATCAGAGGGGGTGCCCCGGCTGCTTGGGATGAGAAGGCGTGTCCGCTGGTCAGAGGGCCAATCAGAACAGGACAGGCAAGCCGGCCGGCCCCAGTGGCCACTCAGGAGCAGGCCGACCACTCTGCCTGCCCTAGGACTGGGCGAGCTTCCTGCCAATCAGGGGCGGGGCAAGCGGGGCTTGGCCAGTAGCGGGAGGCGGCAGCGTCAGGCGCCCGGCTGGTGGTCCCCGCGGTGGCCCGCTCGCCGGCTCGAGGCTGAGGGA